GGATAGACCTTCTACGTCCCCCACCTCCAGCCTCCGCCTTGAGCAGCTTCCGCTCCAAGGTCCGAAGAATGGTCTTGCAGATGGAGCAGCTACAGACTCAAGGAGGATACACGGGAATTTGCTCAAGTGCAGTACATACAGTCATGAGCTTCAGGACCTCGGTCTGCCACGTGTGCAGCCTCCGATCAGCATCACCAGTCCTTGCCTCAGAGGGCCTGTTCCTGATGTGTCCGCCTTGGCGGGGTGAAGTGCACAGCAGTTTTGCCTGCTCCTCTGCAAGACACTCGGCATTGCACATGCATGTGGCTTGGAGCTTTGCATGCCCTCAACAGCTGTGGCAGTCAAATAGCTACCTCTCAGACCCTAGAAGGCTGCCACCGAAGGCCTACCAACTGCCTACTACTGCTCTTGTCCCGAACCGGGCCGCGAATCTTCAGACCAATAGCATACAGGAGCCCTCTGCAAGCTGCAACACACCTTCGATTAGTCGCCAGGCACTGCATTCCACTTGTGCTCCTTCCTTGGTCATGGCCTCGCCTTCGACTGCTAGCACACCTCGGTCACAGCGCTCTCGAAGCAATGCAGCTGAGCTCTATGAAGAAGTCCTTGTCGAGGACCCTCCCACTACGGCTTCCAACTGGCGTGCAGCCCTGACACCACTGACAGTGGGCACAGAGGTCGAAGTGGTGGGCGGACACAGGGACTTCCTCATCGGACGTCGTGCTATAGTCCTCCCAACAGAGGACTGTGACAGAAGTACGACGAGGAATCTCAGGATGCTGCAGGGCACTCGCTCAGAACAGAACCGAGTCTACACCATAGACCGATGCCACCTTGAAGCTCGTCTTGGAGAAGAGGCCAGTCGCGCCTCCGCCGACGACGGCATGCTACCAAGCATGCGCTGGAGGTACACTCCTCCTCCGTTGACACGGTTCTCGGCACGCTTCCTTCTGGGCTGGTCTCCGATGAAGTTTCTTGTTCCCCCGCCCGCGCCCAAGCGGGACAAGACTACAACGAGCAGACCAAGGAGGTCACGTGGAGGAAGCCAACAGAGCCACTCCGGCTTCCCACGGAGATGGATGCCAAGGCTCCTGATAACGAGGAGGGGATTTCCAACCGACAGACAGCCCTGCCTCACGGGTCGACGACACCTGCAGTAGTCGAAGCAATGCCTACAGCGGAGAGGAAGCCAGCCCCGGCCTTCGACCCTGGCTCTCATGGTAGCCCTTACGAGTGGAATCTGGCTGATAGTGCTGGGCCTACCTCGCCAGACCGGGTGTTGATCTGGGGAGCCAAAGCCAGGTCTCGGCTACCACCACAGCCGAGTTCTCCAGCCTGCACTCTGGACGTGGATCGCTTTCTACAGAGCTTCTTCGAGACACGGAAAGGACCAGACGGGATGTCCCTCACATCCTTACTCGGGGATCCTGCCCCGCACCATGATAGTTGGTGGCGCATCCCGTGGACTCCGATGGAGGACTCGCATCGCGAATCGCTGTGTCAAGGTGAATGGCAGCGTGGTTGGCATGGATGTAAGATGGAGGCGCTCTACTCCATCATATACCATGGAGAACTCCTACCGAGCATCGACGAGACGAAGGGAGACCGGCTGCTGGCCGGATGTCCTGGTGTATACTTGCATAAGGACAGTTTACAACACAAGGTGGAGAACTACATGCGTTGGATACCGATGTGTGGGGACGGACTCTTTTGGGCGGCGAAGTGGGAGGTAGTGTACACTTCCTCAGGGAGCATGAAGCGTGGGAAGCGAACTGACCAAGTCATACAAAGTGCAGAATCGGTGGAGCTGGTAGCCCTCTGGCTTTCAGTGCGATCCGAGAATATGCTGCCGGAAGGGACTCCTGTACAGGCCAAATGGTCCCCTGAACGCGAGGCCAACCCACGCCTGACCCACTCCCGGCGACGCAGCAGTGCTCTGATGACGGCTCCTTCCAACCCTCAGCTTCGGTCTACCCAAGCAAGTCGGCCTATTTCTACAGACTCCGGGGTACCAGCTCCGAAGACTCCGCCGACGAGACCAGAGTCCTATGTCACTGGACCTGGAGTAGATGCTCGTGGCAGACTTCGCCCCAAGCCAAAGACCAGGCACCTGACCGCCACCGATCGGTCGGGCTCTGCTGAGAGGCCTCCAAAACAGACTCGCTTGTCAGATCAGCCCACCAAGCTGACGACAGCACCAAGACCGGCCCATGTCCCCTCAGAACTAGAGAGGGACCGGACACCGGTGGAGGCCAAGCTCACGATTCAATCTGGCAACTTGGTCCTGAGGTCAGCATCAGCATCGGCCAATGACAAGGGTGGGGCAGCTGACCACCTGCAGGGATCAAGCAAAGATGATCAGGAGCCAAGCCCAGAGGCACCGACTACCAGACCCACTGCAAGCTCCACTGGTATCAAACAGGTGGCTACCTCCAAAGATCAGAGGGCACCTTCAAGACCTCCTGCCAAGCAGATAAAAAGAAAGCAGGTCGCCGACTCCAGCAGAACTCGTTCTCCGCAGCGCCCTCGGACCACCTCGATCTGGTTCAACATCACAGAGGCTCAAGATGACAAGCCACCTCCGCCCTCTTCCTCTTCTGCCAAAGGCCGGAAAACTCCCACGACCAAGGAGGCTAAGCACAACGATCGTATTCGCAGACGGATGGCCAGGAAGATGGAGGAAATTTTCCAGGCCAATCGAGCCGCAGGACTCACCAAAGACTCTGCTGCCTCGTCCAGTGCTGCCTATACAGTGTGCGAGTGCAGTCTGCCCTGTGAGAGTTTGCATCAGCCCACACACATGTGCCCCTCTACCAGATGCCATATCTCTCCGCTCAGGTGTGACCTCAGCCCAGATGACAGCTCCTCAGGCTCGTGGGTACCTTCACATGATTGTTCAGCTTGGTGGCGGACCTTTTGCAGGGGACTCTGCACTTGCCTGGCTCACGACCAAGTCCAGGCTGATATGTCACATGTCATGTATCAACGATGCTACCTACCATGGAGCCGAGGGAACAAGTCCCAGATGCCACCTCGTCCCCGGCTTCCCGGAGGAGGGCCCTACAGAATTCTGCCTTCAGGTTCGTCGATGCTAAGTGTTCTTGCTAATGCCACCTCAGATGACACAGTGGGAGCCACCTCTCCCAAGCAGTCATTCCACAGGCACCACAACCCGACCTGCTGCTTCTACCGACAACAAAGGCCTTGACGACCCAACCTGGGGTCACTCTGGTTGCAGACTGCAATCCTGCCACTACCATGGCAGGTCTGCTTGTGCCCACCGAGATCACGCCGGCCTCCCCAGTAGAATGCACAGCATGCAAGGACTTACAGCATGTCTTGCACCAGGACCCTGGACCAGCACGTCACTGATGCGAAGCGAGAGGCTTGTATTCTGGCAGGCCCCTCCAGACACTGTGCGAATTCTTGAGCGCCTCGGTCTCTTACCATGGGACCAGCCGCCTCGTACATCATCCTCCATACCGGTCTGCCTACTTCACTGGCAGCAAGGCTGGCCGGATGCCTATCAAGTTGGTCCCTCTGAAGTCTGTGCAGTGTGTTCGCGATTGCCGCGACCTGATATCCAATCGGCCTCAGCGGCTAGCCTACCTCACGAACCCCATTCTGGACTTCAGGCTGTCAGACACCTAGCTGTCAGGATTACTTGTCAGATGCAATCCTGCTTTCCACCTAGACTTGGCTCAGGTCTGTCAAACCCACTGGGCCCAGGCGAGAGCGCCACAGTCAGTGCACACAGCACCAGCCCTGAAACTGCCGGGTTCGCACTCAGGACATCCCCGGTACCTGGCTGGCTTACCGACTGGCTGACCCTCGGTGTGCTTGGTGCAGATTTGACTTTAGCCGCAGCACCCCGCATCAGCTCCCCTTCCAACGAAAGCTACGATCCGCTACCAATAAGATGGGGCCCCCGCCTAGCCTGTCTTGCACCGGAGCTGAATTGCCCGAGTCTCGGTTTGACCTGGAAACGATGGACTAGAAGCTGTCTCCTTGCAAAACAATCAGCTAAGTTCACGCCTCATATTCCGGTCAGATCACACTTGATCTTAAACATCACTTTTCTCATTGCGAGCCAGCTCGGTCCCAAGTCCGAGCATTCTCCCGCCTTTTTGACATTGACAATTGGGCGCAGCTGTCATTCGTATTCACTTAGACAATGGCAGTTTCAAGGGAGAATAGGAGCGAAGGTTAGCAACAGTAGCCGTCTGTTGCTGGGACCACGGTCGTGCCCTTCGGAGCGCCTCCGTGGGAAGCCACGGCAAGAGCTGAAAAACCATTTCACTCTGCAGAGCGCTATCCCCCGGGATCGCTCACATGATACGAAGTCTGAGCGTAGACATCCTTTTGCTCACATGCTCAGCCTCAAGCACTGGATCGTAGAGACTCCATCCCAGACTTTTCTGTCTCTACGGCCCCTTCATCTTCTGTCACTTCTAAGTAAAGCCAGATCCTGCATTCCTGGCCTCTCCCTGCACAAAATACAGCACATCATCATCGCAGCTCGTCCCGGTTGGCTCTACTTGGAGCGATCCCTGCTGTTCCTTAGATCTGTTCACCGGCCTCGGCCTCAGGGTCCCTGTCATAGACCCCGGCCCGCACAATCGGTACATACCCGTCTATCGATGCAGGTCCCTTCTCCTCTGACTGTGTCCACGACCCACCGAAGAACAGGCAGACTGTCCGGTCCAAGAGTCCGGCGAATCCTGCTGACACTTCTTCTCCTTATGCAAGGACACCCTGCTCTGGGTATGGAACAAGGCAACTACTTTTTGACAGAGGCTCTGCCCACTGTCCCCCCTTTGCCTCGGCAATCCCCACAATACTCTCAGGTTCGGAAACGAGCTTACAAACGTGCTGTGGCCAGAGCAGCTGGTCATCCTGAGCAGCGCACCCAGTAGCCCTGCACCCTGCGACAGCTGCATCACCAGTATGTTGGTACGCAGGTGGCTAGCCGAGCCCTCCCACGACCACGCCAAGCAGTCATGATGAGGCGACCAGATCGATTGCTACTTTGGAGCTGGAATGCAGGTGGTCTCACCACCGATCTCTGGCAGGAACTACTTCTTACTCTTGACCTACTACCTGTGGTGCAGCGACCTGAAGTTGTCCTCCTCCAAGAGACCCACTGGACCGAGGCCATCACTCCCAACTTTACCACCTCCTCCTGGACGGTCCTTTCGTCCCCGACAACAGACTGCAAAGCCGCAGGTCTGGTCATCCTCCTCGACAAGCAACTTTGTGCTCGAGGCACCCTCACCTACGCAGACCCTCTTCCAGGCAGGGTGCAACATGCCAGGTTAGAGACCAAACAGTGGACTGTGGACCTGCTGAACATATATCAAAAGCCTCTTCTAGCTCAAAAAGATCAGGCAAAACCTGCCCGGGACCTTCGTCGACAGGTCTGGCATACGCTTCGCCAGCAGATTGCAAGAATCCCGACCAGGCACACCCTCATCATTGGAGGCGATCACAATTGTAATCTTCTCCCCTCCGCCTGTGCGGGGCCGAGAGCCCATTGCCCCACCAGCAAACACATGCCGGATCAACATCTTCTGCAAAAACTTTTAGAGGACCATAACTTGATCCAGGTCAATTCCTGGACGAGGAAGGCGGGCCCTACCTACACACATCCCACTGGCCGGAGCTTCATTGATCACGTGATCGTCAGACAAGGCCAGGCGGATAGCCTCACCAGACAAGCACACCCGCTGGCCATTGAATTGGCAGCATGGAGGCAGGGTGGCAAACATAGCCCCATCGTCGGCACGGCACGACTCTGTAGCTTTCACTCACTCAACCGCCCTGTGCCACCTCCGCGCACCTGGGACCACTGGTCCCTGGTACAGAAATGCAAAGCTTGGTGGGACCCTCAGATTTCTCACCTACGCAGCCTGATCACTGAACAACTCTCCTCGGTGACACAGGTGGAAGACCTTGATCGTATGCTGGTGCAGCAGGCCCGGCTGGCCTTCCCACCTACTTCGAAGCCCAATCGACTTGCACTTTGGCAGACTCCGATCATGGAAGGAGGACTCCGAGCCATGTGGCAAGCATACCGAGAGTGGAAGAAACCACAAGGTGCAGGACTCCGCCGCATCCTCAATGCTTGGAAGCACTACCAGCTTTTTCAGCAGAAACAAAAAGCTTTTCGCAAAGCGGGCAAGGAAGCCAAAAAGCATTGGTTCCACGCTCGTCTTCACGATCTGCAGCGAGCTGCTCAGTCCAAGGACACCCGGACACTCTATGCTGAAATACGCACCCTGGCCCCTAAGTCCAAGCGATTTGCAGTGCAACTTCGGGACTCCCACGGCAATCTCCAAGCAGCCTCGCTCCAGGCCGACCAACTGGAGCATCACTACAAACAGCTGTACACTGCTCCAATCTCTGAGGAGCCACCATCCCCACCCACTATCATCCAGATGCAGGTCACCGACCAGGAGGTGCACCGTGCTCTGCAGCTCCTGCCAGTCCACAAGGCGACTCCCCCGGGCAGGGCCACTACATCCCTGTGGCACTGCTGCGCGGATCTGATTGCCCCGACCTTGGCCGAGCTAACTCGAAACATGACCTGTGTACCCCAACAATGGCGTGATGCCTGGTTGACGTTAGTCCCGAAAATCCCACGGCCCACGACCAGTGGAACCTCGCAATCTACGCCCTACTATAGGGCTCACCGAAGCGGGGGGTCGGGCGATTGCTCGTATTGTGCAAGGAAGACTGCGACCTCACATCACACAATACCTTCTCTCCCTTCCCCAATATGCATACATAGCTCAACGCAGTACCAGTCATGCAATCCACCGTGTGCAGACTCACTGCAGGCAAGTCCAGGAAGCCTGTTCCATCCCGGCCAGAACTGTTATGGACGCCTACGAGGCCAAGCCCAAATGTCAAGGCAATCAAGGCGGTATACAAATATCCTTGGACCTGACATCTGCTTTTGATGTCTTGTCCTGGGATTTGATCTCCAGGTCAATGGAAGCAGCAGCTCTTCCCTCGGAGCTCCAGGACTGGGTATCCAGCTGGTATAATGAGGTTCGATACTTCGTGAGACACCTAGGTTGGGAGAAGTGTATCACTGCCTCTAGAGGAGTTCGCCAAGGATGTCTCCTGGCACCTCTACTATGGAGTCTTTGCACCGGGTACCTACTAACACTTCTACAGCAAGATGTCACACCCAGTTGGGTGGTCCATTGCATTACCTGCTATGCCGACGACTTCCATGCATCAGACCGTGTAGATTCATACCGAAGCCTTGATCGCGCCACGACTCGCATTGGAGCGCTGCTTGACCTGCTTGCTGATGCACATATGTGCATCAATCAGAAAAAGTCGGCTATGCTTCTCCGAGTTAGAGGCGGGTTTGCCAAGAGATGGCTACAACAGCACAAGATCATATGTGACTCTGAGCCGCATCTCCGGATTCGAACACCCAAAGGACGAATCTACACCTTCCCCCTCAAAGAGCATCACATCTACCTGGGGGTCACCATCTCATACCACTCCTCGGCCAAGCACACGATTGCACACCGCCTCAAAGCAGCCAATCAAACTTGGCAAAGACTTCGGAAAATTCTGTGCTCCAAAGGAAGCCTAGACGTTTGGAAGCGGGTAGAAATTTGGAAGACCACCGTGCTACCCACCATGCTGTACGGAGTTGGGCCTTCGGCTCCCAGTCTGCGAGATCTCCAGAGATTGCAACATCAGCTCACACGACAACTGCGAGCCATCACCCACCTTTTCGCTCACCTTAGCAAGGTCTCCACCCAAGATCTCTATGCCAGATTCAAGGTTCGAAGTGTCCTGGAAATACTACACAAAGAAGCCCACACCCTGCATGCACAGCTCTTTTCCAATACTGCATTTGGGGAAACCGTAGCCCCACAGCATGTAGAGAGTGCGCAGAAAATCGCAGCTCAGCTTCAACTATGGCAGGACCAGAAGTGGGTCTCTTCTTCTTCCGGAACCGGCGAGGAGGACCCGACTGCTCCCTTCCAGTGCTCGCGTTGTAATCGGGCTTTCCGCAGTTATCGATTATTAAGGGTTCACGAGTCGGTCGAGCACTCGCAGAAAGCTCCTAAACACAATGAAATCGTGTTCTGCAAAGAGCGACACAGCGTCAATGGGGTGCCCACCTGTCGCCTCTGTCAACACTCCTTTAGACAATGGGCTAACCTCAAGCAACACATCTGTAAGCAGCGTTGCCCGGTGCTCAGAGGATACGATGGCCAGACTTCTTCTACCACGGCAAACACTACCTCTTCTCCTGCAACTGAACAAGGACTGCCGAGGACAGCTGTGCGTGACAACACGCCGAGCCATCCACAGGATGTGGCCTCCGACGTGAGCTCTGCCTTGGTCCCTGTCACAATCCCTGCTCCAGCAATTGATGCACCTCTCATCCAACGACCTGAGGTCTTAAAGATGCTGAGCGAAGGATCCTGGGTCACACTGGCCAGTGATTCGTCGGTGCAGAAGACTCTGCAGCACCACTGCCCTGTCTGCTTTCAGTGGTGTGCAGATGCAACTGGACTCAAACACCACCTGGCGCATGCACATGCTTCCTGGCTCGAGCACAAAGCAGCTGCACAACAGCTGCTTAAGGCCTTTCGTCGCACAATCGTGCTACCATGCAGATACTGCCAACAGCACAGAGTGAACAAGGACAGGCACTATTATCAATGTCCTGTACTGAGCATTTGTGCCTTTCTGCAAGTGTGGCATGACTCCGTTCACACTCGATCAGATGGACCTGGACACGGACGAGGCCAAGTTTTTCGGACAGCCAGATCTGGGGTCTCTGCCGCCCACCAAGCGGCAGCGACCGGAGGGAGGCTTTTCGACACATCCGATGATCAAGGGCAAAGCGCCCACTCCTCCACCGACCTGGGACTACACAAATGGTTCCGACCAATGGGACAATCCATGGCCCACCCAAGCCACACCGACGGCCAATCATCACTACATCGGGGAGACCGAGTACTACTATCAGCAACACATGCAGAACCTCACTCGCCTCGTATTGTAACAGGAACAGACCATTGCATCCCTGAGGCAGGACATCACCCTCTATCTCTTCGTCAAGACAGGACAGGGCAGCATTGTGTCTCTGCTCCATCAAACAGCAGAGAAGTGGAGGGCAGAGAAAGAGAAAACGCCGTGCACTCTGACGTACTCTCTGAAGATTGCGATGTTCAAGCAGCTGATGATAGAGCTGCACGGTCGCTTGGCGGCGGTGGCCAAGAATCCCTCCGAGACCGAAAAAGCCAAGAAACTCAACTGGATAGACGATCGCGGAAATTGGAGAATTCTCAAATGGGATCCAGCCAAAATGGAACTTCAAGTGGACGAGAATCAGCCGGCGGCGAGCACGGACGACCTCCTCAAGCAGACCGTGGAGATGCGGAAGGGTGTGAGCGAGGAAGCCTTGCATCGCTTTCGCAGATACAAACGAATGACGGACCAACCCACGTCCGAATGGATCCAGTTCCGCATGGAGATCTCGTTGAGGCCGCTGGGCGACCCTGTATGGTCCACCCTCCAGAAGTGGATCGGCCAATCGGCGTGGCACTTGCTAGGATGCCGGCTGCGGAAGGAGCGACCACAATTCAATACCCTGGTGGATCAAGTCCGTCAGGGTCTTTGATGCAGAGCCGCGACCTTAGTCTTAGCCGAGTCCTGCAACTACACTTCCACAACCCCAACAACCATTGCTATATGCACACTTCCATTTACACACTCCTTTGGACAATTTTGCAACTCCGCAGACACGGCAACCACAGTCCAGCACTCCACAGGTGCTTTGATACCCTCGTGTCAAACCCCATGCGGACTACTACACCTCTTCAGGTTGCTCGCCTTCTACCTTGGCGGATGTTGCTTGGGCAATGGCCACAGCTGAATCAGCAGCATGACATCTGTGAATTCCTTGGCTATATTCTACCCAGGTGCCTCAGTTGGCCTGCTGGCTATGAGGTTCCAAGCTGGGAGGCTCGGCGATTCCGAGATGGCCATCTCAACGTGCTAGATCGGGGACCTGCCTACCTTCCCATCCCCATCCCTCTTTGCACAGGTGAAACATGTCATCTGCAATGGTGCGTGGATGCATGGCACAGGCAATCCTGCATTCATGCCCTCACTGCCGCTGCACCCTTCCTGTGTCTGCAGTTGCTCAGATTTCACAATGAGGAGGGGAGAATGCAACGTGACCTCCGACCTCTGAAAGGCCACATGACTACTGTGCATATGCCAGTCTTCCGTGCAGACAATGCTGAGCTTCGCAATGACCTGATTTGCACTCATGCCCCGTACCAGGTCGTAGCAATGGCTTTGCATTCTGGGGAAGCACCTACTGAGGGGCACTATCGAGCTGTGCTGAATGGCCAGCCGTTCTTTGGAGCGGATAAAAGCTGGCATACAGATGATGGCAGAGTCGCATGCAGTTGCAAGTCAGAGGATCACACCATGCATCGCATTGCTGCTTACGTGATCTGCCTTCGTTATGAGCCAGGCTTGAACTCCGAATGACGACGAAGAAGATAAACCTGAGTGAATGGTCTGGTAGTGCGACGCAGGTCACCTGACCCGTCGCAGATCCCACCTGAGGATCCATTGCATCAAAGATGCGATGCTAGCTCGCTAAGCAGACTCGGACGTCATGCAGCGTTGGGAATGAAATGCTACTGCTACTGCTACTGCTGCTGCTACTGCTGCTGCTACTGCTGCTGCTACTGCTGCTGCTACTGCTACTGCTACTGCTATACTGCTACTGCTAAGGTTCTTGGCTCGCAGCTGAGAAATGTGTGTGAAACTTGAGCCTTTCTTCCTAACGGTATGCCCGCTAGAAGGCTTGGCAAATGCCTGGCCGCCGGACTACGAGACAGTCTGTGCCACACACTTGGCGTTGCCTCAGTGGGGTGGAGATCGCTTGCCCCTAATTCTTTCCTTGCTGCCAGGAGGCGAGCCGGGTCGCGGTCGCCTCAGTCAATACCACTTCCGCGCATGTGCACTGGTCACCCATCCTGTCGCAGGACATGCCACTGCCTTCGTCGTCTGGCCCTGCACCCTGGTGCGGGACTAACCGCCCCCTGCTGCTTGACCTTTGGTGCCTGGGCTCTCTTGCAGGCAATGATCCGGTTTCTGCAACCAATCCGTGGCCGGGGCCCTGTTCTCTGCCGTTGCCCAATCACCTGCCTGTGAGACCTCGGCACCACCTGCGCCAGTAGGTCTTATGCAGCCCGTGCCATTCCCTCGCAAAGTACCTCCGCCCGGGCCTCAGAGTACCCCGCGCTGTCGACACCTAGCCATATTCCGGTATCCCCAGGCCCCGGTCGGCCCCACGAAATGGAACCACAACAAGATCGGACCGTGGCAGGATCATCAAAGTCCCACTAGTGATCGTACCCCCTTTCTGCCCAGTGCCCTTGCCAGGACCATTATGCGACCCAGGCCAGTTCTGACTCTACTTCCTCACACCCTGAAGCTCCAATAAGCTTTAAATAAGGTGACGTGCTTAAGTTTCCCTATCAGGCGTATACCTCATGCTTATACAAAGCTTTAAACTCTTTGTAAAGCTTATAACCTTTATTTAAACATTATAAGAGGTGTTTTAATGAAAATTTAAAGCTTTCAGCTTTAAATAAACATGAAAAGTACGTCTCTTAATTAAGGCTGACAGCTTTCAATTAAAACAACAAGTTTGACAGATTTTGCTGGAGGCAGGCTCCAGAAAATTGCCGTTAACCCTATCCTAAATCCTAGAATCAATCAACGCATGCAGTCGATCACTCGCTCGATCATTTTCAAGCAGCCAGCACAGGCAGGGTGTTTCTGGCTTTGAACTTGTCCAGGACAAGCTGGGAAGAGTTTCCCGGAGTGTTGTGGCCGCCTTTGGCCCTTACCATGGCTGCAGTAGCTCCTCCGAAATCTTCATCTCTATAGCACCAGATGTCCTTTGGACATGTAGGGCTCTGCGAAAGGTGCAGGAGGAGGTGAAGCTTCGGTTTAACTCGCCAGGCGATATTGTCACCAAAGTGATCCCTCAAAGACACATACTGCAAAGCAAACCTTTTGACCTCTCGCTCCATGAGGCTGGGGTCGTAGGGCTCGACATCCAGAGCAGCATAGCATGCCAAAAGCAAAGAGATGCAAGCCAAAACTGCAGAATCCAGATCCCCTGAGCTGTCCAAAAACTTTCGGCACACAGCATCCAAAATAGGTATCAACTTTCTGGTTTCTGCACCTTTGGCTTTGAGCTTTGGGGCTTTTCCAGCTTCCTTGCGATACATGGTCTCTGTCAATGTGGCCAGTCGATCGGATGCGACACCCTGGTTCTTGTACTCCTGCGAAATCTCTTTGTAGAGCTCCCCAGTTCGCTTGGTAATATTTGAACCAGGCATCTTGCTTTGCAGGTGGTACAGAACGTTCCCAGCAGCATCTGCAGCACAACCCAAATCCATAATATGCAGCCAATCCAACCTGATGACCTTGAGACAACAATTTGGAAACTGCCACACAGCACTCATGAACCTGTGCTCCTCCCAGCACCTCATGATAAAGGTCTCCTGATCAAAATATTCATTGCGAGCGCAAACAGCGGACGCGCACGGCTAAACCCCCACAGCGGACGCGCACGGCTAAACCCGATAAACCCGATAAACCCGATAAACCCGATCAACCCGATCAACCCGCTAAACCCGGTAAACCCGATAAACCCGATAAACCCGGTAAACCCGGTGAACCTGATATCAGGGGCGCCCCTCAACCCAAGGCCCCACCCTCGGAGTTCAAGATCTGTAAGGGTTGCGGTTTAGAAGGCAGTGGTGTCCCAGCAACCCAAGGCCCGACCCTCGGAGTTCAAGATTTGTAAGAGTTCTGATTTAAAAACCAGGGGCGTCCAAGGCCCCACCCCCGGAGTTCAAGCTCACTAAGAGGCGGTGATCTGAAAATCATGGGCGCTCCATCAGTCCAAGTCCTCATCCTCGGAGTTCAACATCTGTCAAAGCTTTGATTTCAGAATCAGGGGTGCCCCATCAGTCCAAAGCTCCACCCTCGGAGTTCAAGGATCTGTAAGGGTTCTGATTTAAAAATCAGGGGCGCCCCGCTCCATCAGAGTCCAAGGCCCCACCCTCGGAGTTCAAGATCTGTAAGGGTTGTGATTTAAAAATCAGGGGCGCCCCGCTCCATCAGAGTCCAAGGCCCCACCCTCGGAGTTCAAGATCTGTAAGGGTTGGGATTTAGAAATCAGGGGTGCCCCGCCCCATCAGAGTCCAAGGCCCCACCCTCGGAGTTCAAGATCTGTAAGGGTTGTGATTTAGAAATCAGGGGTGTCCCATCAACCCGAGGCCCGACCCTCGGAGTTCAAGATTTGTAAGAGTTCTGATTAAAAAACCAGGGGTGTCCAAGGACTAAGATGGGCGCTCCATCAGTCCAAGTCCTCATCCTCGGAGTTCAACATCTGTCAAAGCTTTGATTTCAGAATCAGGGGTGCCCCATCAGTCCAAAGCTCCACCCTCGGAGTTCAAGGATCTGTAAAGGTTCTGACTTAAAAATCAGGGGCGCCCCGCTCCATCAGAGTCCAAGGCCCCACCCTCGGAGTTCAAGATCTGTAAGGGTTGTGATTTAGAAATCAGGGGCGCCCCGCTCCATCAGAGTCCAAGGCCCCACCCTCGGAGTTCAAGATTTGAAAGAGTTCTGATTAAAACAACCAGGGGCGTCCGAGGCCCCACCCCCGGAGTTCAAGCTCACTAAGAGGCGGTGATCTGAAAATCATGGGCGCTCCTCCATCAGTCCAGGGCCTCCTCCTCGGAGTTCAACATCTGTCAAAGCTTTGATTTAAGAATCAGGGGTGCCCCATCAGTCCAAAGCCCCACCCTCGGAGTTCAAGGATCTGTAAGGGTTCTGATTTAAAAATCAGGGGCGCCCCGCTCCATCAGAGTCCAAAGCCCCACCCTCGGAGTTCAAGATCTGTAAGGGTTGTGATTTAGAAATCAGGGGTGCCCCATCAACCCAAGGCCCGACCTTCGGAATTCAAGATTTGTAAGAGCTCTGATTAAAAAAACCAGGGGCGTCCAAAGCCCACCCTCGGAGTTCAAGATCTGTAAGGGTTGGGATTTAGAAATCAGGGGCGCCCCGCCCCATCAGAGTCCAAGGCCCCACCCTCGGAGTTCAAGATCTGTAAGGGTTGTGATTTAGAAATCAGGGGTGCCCCATCAACCCAAGGCCCGACCCTCGGAGTTCAAGATTTGAAAAAGTTCTGATTAAAAAACCAGGGGCGTCCGAGGCCCCACCCCCGGAGTTCAAGCTCACTAAGAGGCGGTGATCTGGGTGATCTGAAAATCATGGGCGCTCCATCAGTCCAGGGCCTCCTCCTCGGAGTTCAACATCTGTCAAAGCTTTGATTTCAGAATCAGGGGTGCCCCATCAGTCCAAAGCTCCACCCTCGGAGTTCAAGATCTGTAAGGGTTCTGATTTAAAAATCAGGGGCGCCCCGCTCCAGCAGAGTCCAAGGCCCCACCCTCGGAGTTCAAGATCTGTAAGGGTTGGGATTTAGAAATCAGGGGCGCCCCGCCCCATCAGAGTCCAAGGCCCCACCCTCGGAGTTCAAGATCTGTAAGGGTTGTGATTTAGAAATCAGGGGTGCCCCATCAACCCAAGGCCCGACCCTCGGAGTTCAAGATTTGAAAAAGTTCTGATTAAAACAACCAGGGGCGTCCGAGGCCCCACCCCCGGAGTTCAAGCTCACTAAGAGGCGGTGATCTGGGTGATCTGAAAATCATGGGCGCTCCATCAGTCCAGGGCCTCCTCCTCGGAGTTCAACATCTGTCAAAGCTTTGATTTAAGAATCAGGGGTGCCCCATCAGTCCAAAGCCCCACCCTCGGAGTTCAAGGATCTGTAAGGGTTCTGATTTAAAAATCAGGGGCGCCCCGCTCCATCAGAGTCCAAGGCCCCACCCTCGGAGTTCAAGATCTGTAAGGGTTGTGATTTAGAAATCAGGGGTGCCCCATCAACCCAAGGCCCGACCCTCGGAGTTCAAGATTTGTAAGAGTTCTGATTAAAAAACCAGGGGCGTCCAAGGCCCCACCCCCGGAGTTCAAGCTCACTAAGAGGCGGTGATCTGAAAATCATGGGCGCTCCATCAGTCCAAGTCCTCATCCTCGGAGTTCAACATCTGTCAAAGCTTTGATTCAAGAATCAGGGGTGCCCCATCAGTCCAAAGCCCCACCCTCGGAGTTCAAGGATCTGTAAGGGTTCTGATTTAAAAATCAGGGGCGCCCCGCTCCATCAGAGTCCAAGGCCCCGAGTCCAAGTCCTCATCCTCGGAGTTCAACATCTGTCAAAGCTTTGATTCAAGAATCAGGGGTGCCCCATCAGTCCAAAGCCCCACCCTCGGAGTTCAAGGATTTGTAAGGGTTCTGATTTTAAAATCAGGGGCGCCCCGCTCCATCAGAGTCCAAGGCCCCGGAGTTCAAGATCTGTAAGGGTTGTGATTTAGAAATCAGGGGCGCCCCGCCCCATCAGAGTCCAAGGCCCCACCCTCGGAGTTCAAGATCTGTAAGGGTTGTGATTTAGAAATCAGGGGTGCCCCATCAACCCAAGGCCCGACCCTCGGAGTTCAAGATTTGTAAGAGTTCTGAAGAAAAACCAGTGGCGTCCAAGGCCCCACCCCCGGAGGACAAGCTCACTAAGAGGCGGTGATCTGAAAATCATGGGCGCTCCATCAGTCCAAGTCCTCATCCTCGGAGTTCAACATCTGTCAAAGCTTTGATTTCAGAATCAGGGGTGCCCCATCTCCAAAGCTCCACCCTCGGAGTTCAAGGATCTGTAAGGGTTCTGACTTAAAAATCAGGGGCGCCCCGCTCCATTAGAGTCCAAGGCCCCACCCTCGGAGTTCAAGATCTGTAAGGGTTGGGATTTAGAAATCAGGGGCGCCCCGCCCCATCAGAGTCCAAGGCCCCACCCTCGGAGTTCAAGATCTGTAAGGGTTGTGATTTAGAAATCAGGGGTGCCCCATCAACCCAAGGCCCGACCCTCGGAGTTCAAGATTTGAAAAAGTTCTGATTAAAACAACCAGGGGCGTCCGAGGCCCCACCCCCGGAGTTCAAGCTCACTAAGAGGCGGTGATCTGGGTGATCTGAAAATCATGGGCGCTCCATCAGTCCAGGGCCTCCTCCTCGGAGTTCAACATCTGTCAAAGCTTTGATTTAAGAATCAGGGGTGCCCCATCAGTCCAAAGCCCCACCCTCGGAGTTCAAGGATCTGTAAGGGTTCTGATTTAAAAATCAGGGGCGCCCCGCTCCATCAGAGTCCAAGGCCCCACCCTCGGAGTTCAAGATCTGTAAGGGTTGTGATTTAGAAATCAGGGGTGCCCCATCAACCCAAGGCCCGACCCTCGGAATTCAAGATTTGTAAGAGTTCTGATTAAAAAAACCAGGGGCGTCCAAAGCCCCACCCCCGGAGTTCAAGCTCACTAAGAGGCGGTGATCTGAAAATCATGGGGCTCCATCAGTCCAAGTCCTCATCCTCGGAGTTCAACATCTGTCAAAGCTTTGATTTAAGAATCAGGGGTGCCCCATCAGTCCAAAGCTCCACCCTCGGAGTTCAAGGATCTGTAAGGGTTCTGATTTAAAAATCAGGGGCGCCCCGCTCCATCAGAGTCCGAGGCCCCACCCTCGGAGTTCAAGATCTGTAAGGGTTGTGATTTAGAAATCAGGGGTGCCCCATCAACCCAAGGCCCGACCCTCGGAGTTCAAGATTTGTAAGAGTTCTGATTTAAAAAACCAGGGGTGTCCAAGGCCCCACCCCCGGAGGACAAGCTCACTAAGAGGCGGTGATCTGAAAATCATGGGCGCTTCATCAGTCCAAGTCCTCATCCTCGGAGTTCAACATCTGTCAAAGCTTTGATTTCAGAATCAGGGGTGCCCCATCAGTCCAAAGCTCCACCCTCGGAGTTCAAGGATCTGTAAGGGTTCTGATTTAAAAATCAGGGGCGCCCCGCTCCATCAGAGTCCAAGGCCCCACCCTCGGAGTTCAAGATTTGAAAGAGTTCTGATTAAAACAGCCAGGGGTGTCCGAGGCCCCACCCCCGGAGTTCAAGCTCACTAAGAGGCGGAGATCGAAAATTCATGGGCGCTCCATCAGTCCAGGGCCTCCTCCTCTTCAATATCTGTCAAAGCTTTGATTTAAGAATCAGGGGTGCCCCATCAGTCCAAAGCCCCACCCTCGGAGTTCAAGGATCCGCAAGGGTTCTGATTTTAAAATCAGGGGCGCCCCGCCCCATCAGAGTCCAAGGCCCCACCCTCGGAGTTCAAGACCTGTCAGGGTTCTGACTCAAGAATCGGTCGGTAGTCATAGATTTCAGAAGACTTTCAGAAGAACAAAGACACAACAACAAACCCAAAACAGTTCCGAAGTGCGCGTCAAATTCCGGGTGCACGCACAAGAGCACGTCAATTGAGTCGAGATTCGTGGTCGTTCGCCAAAAAATCCGCTGAATAGGATGCAATATAACCCCACGTGAAATGTAAAAACTCTCTCTGACTGACAGTTGAAGAGAATTCGCAGGACTGCGGGAACTGCTGCCAGCAATGAGCCACAAAAACCTGGTACGACAGGCACTGCCCGGAAATCGCAGGCTGCAAAACCAAGGTAGCAACCAGGCTGCAACAGCCACAGGGTAGTATTGCCTGTGTGCCAGGCTGTAGAGTTCCAGCGCAATTCCAGCGCAATTCCAGCGCAATTCGGCGCAATTCGGCGCAATTCGGCGCAATCGGCGCAATTCGGCGCAATTCGGCGCAAACGGCGCAATTCGGCGCAATCGGCGCAATTCGGCGCAAACGGCGCAATTGGCGCAATTCGGCGCAAACGGCGCAATTGGCGCAATTCGGCGCAATCGGTGCTTTCCAGCGCATTCCAACGCATTCGGCGCATTCCAGCGCAATCGGCGCATTCCAGCGCAATCGGCGCAATCCAGCGCATGGCCATCTGCGGCCACTGAGCCCGCACGCACTGAAAATATTGATGTCTCCAGGAGGCCTGCAAATCCACCTCGTGCACTTTATCGGGTGTCATGGGACAAAGCCAGCAGCAGCCATTGTTTTCGTTGTGTGCAGGCAGGGAAAGGGCATCCTTGAACATTTTCCAGTCGCCCCTGATTTGTGTCAAACATGCAACTGGCAAATCTGACCCAGCTAGACGAAGACGTGCCTTGTCGACCCGTAAATCGAAGGGGCTGCCATCATGCTTTCGAGAAGGATACCTTCCAAGAGCCAGCTGCTCGAAACTCCACACCAAAACCTTCATGGCTGCATCCATGGTACACTTCTTGGCTTCAAACATCTTCTTCAGACAGAACAGCGGCACTCGAAGGCCAGGAACGGATGGGAAACTTAGAGCTATAACTTCCAAGCTTTGGGACCTGTCCCAATTGCAAGGCACCCCGCCATTCCAGAGCCCCAGTGGCAGAATTGTCGCTGGATCTCTCGCTGGCTGGCACGACAAAGAAAACTTCTCAATCAGCTCAGCATCCTCTTGCAGCACATCCTGGCTCAGGATCCAGGCTGAGTCACCAAATTCAAAAAGCTTCCCCAGAATTTCATGGGGAAGCAAAAACGGCAAGGAGACCTGGCGGTTCGCCTGCAGCTTGGGGTCATGCAGCTCTATGTCGGCATAGTAGCAGTCTGGCCAGTGGGACCCCTTCAGCATTTTCCTTCTTAGGCTTCTGGCTGCATTCTTGTCTTGTACAGCGGCCAAGTCGTCCACACCACTGGCACCAGAAGATTGAGCATCCTTGAAAAGGGAAGCTGTCCTGGCAGCTGTGATCTGCCCAGACAAAAAAGCATCCGAAAGATTGGCCCGAAACCTTTTCTTCTCGGGCACGTCTTCCTCATTGTAACCACGACTGTTCTTGGAGTACATGGCTTCACATGCAGCTCCAGAAAAGTGAAACAAACTTCAGAAACTTGAGCACCTATACCCTGCAACATATATTGCAATCACAGCATGCAAGCTAGCACAGTTGTCGGCTGAAGTCTGCGAGCTGCTGCTGCACTCGCCCTTTTGCATGCAAAGGGCCCTGTCGATCTGCAGCTCGAGAAGATCGACCTTGGCTGCACGCAGAAAACATTCAGCAAAAACAATATGTATAGTGCATGCTGTTCGCGGCTGCAAAAGCACTGTTTTTTTTTTAAGTTCGCCTGCCGTGGATCGACTCAAAGCTGCTTTGGCAAAACTGCAGCAAAATGCTGCTTGCATGATATCGAGATCCATGCTCGATGGATCCTAGGCCTGCCAGCCCTTAACCTTCTTCAGCAACAACTTCACATTGTCAAGATGCTCATTGGCATTGCGATTCCACTGCTCCATGTCGGCTTTCTCGTTCTTGCAGGCTGCCTCGTCCATCGTGGGAAGCTTGCGATCCAGCAGGACCTGGATCTTTCGAAGATCCTCCACAAACTTCTTCAGAGCATCCAGGGTAACCCGGACCTCCGGCGCTTTGCTAGCGAGCTTGGGGCAATTCTCGAGAGCAATGCATTCCGAGCTCAACTCTCCATGCTTGGCATCCAGGCTCTTCACTTTGCTCAGGTTGCTCAGCTCGGTCCGCTCGGGGTGCTCCAACTTCACCTCACCCTTGCTGTTCTGCAGGCATTTCATCTCCTTCGCTGCTATGCTAGCAGCCATTTCGAAGGTGCCTGACTCGGTCGATCGGGTTGCATCTTTGCTTTCCACCAAGGTCCGGTAAAAGTACCGGCAGAGCTCGGGCATCTTGTGCTTCACCAGGTTCCTCTCGTGCCCCCAGATTTTTCGGATTCCTGGAGCAAACCCTCCAGCAACTCCTTCTGCCTCTTCTCTGGGAAGTCGCTGATCTTGAGGCCATTCAGGTCAAAAATTCGCGACCTCAGCGGCATTGCAAAACAAAACATTAAAAACAAAATGACCATGCAAGCAACCTAGGCAAAAAATAAAATCTAAGAGTCGCTGTCATCATGCCCTTGATAGAGACATCCTCCTCGGCTTCCTCCTTCACAACCTTCTTGGTGTACTGGCCCACCCACTTCAAGTCCTTAAGGCCATTCTTCTGGTAGGCAGCGATGAAGCCCTTTCGGTCCGAGTCGGCGATCTGCCGGTAGGCCTGGCACATGCACTACACCCAAAAAAAAATGTGCATAGCAAATGGAGAATTGCAACCCGGCCTCCAGCACTTGCTGGGCTTCGCTCTGGCACTCCCCACTCTTGTTTCTCACGGGGTCGGCTTTGTACTTCACAAGATTCAGCATCCTCTGAATGCTGGCTTTCATCTCCACCGGTGTGGGATCATCTCCAATCACCAAGGCACCGGACTTGGTCCTCTTAGCTTTCGGCTCCGTCTTCGGAGCAGCCTTGGCCTTATTCTTTGGGGCCATGATGCCAAAAGGGCAACTGTACAAAAGGCTCCAGTAAACTATTTTTGATCTGGAGCCACAAAATCGAAAGTGTGTTTTGATGCATTTGTTTATCATGCTGTGACAAAACGAAAATGCAGCATATCACTGTTGCACCTGTGGCCCGGACACATGGTATCTGCAGCACATGCAGCAAGACACCTGAGGGTTTTGCTTTAGGGTTTCAAGCTTCAGGGTTAGAGGATTTGGGTTTCTGTAAGGGTTAACATAGATCCAAAGTATATAGAGGTTCTACAAGGTAAGGGTGTATTTATGTATGTCTAGATGTATATATATATATATATAAATATATATATATAATATGTCCATTATATATATATATATGTATGTATATATATATATGTATGTATGTATGTATATATATATATATATATATATATATATAAAAGATTAAGTTATGATACTTATCCTTTTTATAAGGTTTTAGTATACATATATCTATATCTATATATATATATATATATATATAACATATATTTTAAATATGAGGACTATATACGCCTATCCTTATACATGACCATATATTATATGTATACTTATAGATGACGATAAGTTCATGTATATCACACTACATGATTGTTACACCATTACATCATTATATCACAGTAACATTCACATGTTACTGTGATATGATGATGTAATGATGCCCCCGCATAAAATTAAACTGGAACCCAAAACCTGCTAGGGCCAGAAGCCTTCTGAACATACTGGGCGATCCCTGAAACCCACACCTTTGAATCCTCAGCATGTGCACCACCAATTCACCTAAACCACTATACAAACGGAGCAACCCCCACCTTGCACAACCTTTATCCATGAGCCTTTGGAACACCTAGAACCTGTACCACCGAACATATAGACCCTGGAAGATTGCCCTGAAACAACCCAGGCCGTAGCCGCACAGCAGCAAGATCTTTGTATTGTAGGTTTCCTGGAGGCTGTGGCCTCCAGTTAAAAAGTTTAATAGTTTGGTACACAGCTTATAGTGTTTTATATATACAGCACTACGTTTTCAACCGGTTGAAATTTCAACCGGTTGAAAAGTCCACCCCAAAGCTGGATCAAAAGGACAAGCTATTTTTCAACCGGTTGAAATTTCAACCCTTTTTCAACCCTTGCAACATTATAATAATTATATAACACTGATTGTAAACATTAAAGCTTCAACCTTGAACCCAAACCCTAAACCTCAACCCTTATGCCTTAAACCCTAAACTTGGTAAAACCGAAAACCAAAAACCCTAAACCCTAAAAGCTTCAACCCCTACACCCCTGAACCCGGGCCCTCAAACCCTAAACCTAGCCTTTAAACACTGGAACCCTGAACCCTAAAAACACCAAACCCTAAACCCTTAACCCCTCAACCTGTAAACCCTGAAACCCTAAACCCCAAAAACCTCTAACCCTAAACCCTTAACCCCTCAACCTGTAACCCTTAAACCCTAAACCCTAAAAACCTCTAACCCTAAACCCTCAACCCCTCAACCTGTAACCCTTAAACCCTAAACCCTAAAAACCTCTAACCCTAAACCCTTAAACCCTGAACCCCTACACCCCTGAACCTTTAAATCCTTAGACCCTAAACCCTGAAAGCCTTAAACCCTAAACCCTTGAACCCCCAAACCCCTCAACCCTTAAACCCTTGAAACCTTAAGCCCTTAACCCTTAAACCCTAAACCCTTATATTGCCTTTAACCCTTAAACCCTAATCCGCCGGTGCCTCGACACCCATGATGGGGATGCCCAGCCAACCTGCAATACAAAGAAGCTGCAAACACAACAAACGAAAAACTGCACTGCATGCTACAGACTGCACACCATGCACTCTGAGGCCAAGACCATTGTTCAGGAGTTCCAAGGAACTCCTGCCAAAAAGCATGGATGATGAAACCCTGAAAACAACAGCACCACATGCCACTGAAAACGGCTCCAACACTAACACTTCTTTTCTGCACAATCGCTCTGATATCATCATCGCCATGGAAAATGCATGCTGCACAGGGGGTGAAACACATCACTCCTCATCCCTCTTTCTCTTATTCTTGCCCTCCTCCGAATCGCCCTTGCCATCCTCCTCCTCATCCTCCACATCCATGCCGGGCTCCTCCTCATCCGGCTTAGGCTTCACCGGCACCTCCACGATAATTGGCCCTGGGCCCGCCGCCGGCGGCGGCGTCGGCGGCTGCCCCGCCATCCCGGCTCCAATGGCCGCAAGCAACCCGGCGATGACATCTGCAGGGGAAAACCAAAAAACTGGAGTTCCAAAAAAACTCCAGCGAAAAATCTATAATAAAACATTATTACAACTTATCATAATATATATATATATATATATACCCCTGCCTGAGGATCCGGAGGCACCTGGACTCCCAAAGAAATTGATGTTGATTGCCGGCACCGGTGGCTGAATCGCAGCTGTCGGATACCTGGGGATCAAAGCCTTCCCCACACTCTCGGCCTTGATGGGCGTCTTGTCCGGCTGAAAGGCCCTCGGGATGCCCTTGCTGATAGGCGGCTTCAGCGGCTTGATGGGCGGCTTCGGCTCCGATGGCACCTTGGGCGGCTTCGGTTCCGAGGGCTTCTCCTTGGCTGTATATACATGGAGTCCCAAAATAGAACTCCAGAAAAAATTATTGAAGCTGAGATTCTGCACGGATGGTACCCTTCGTGAAGCCCCGTTGGACTCCTCGCAGCCGACGGTTGATCCCCTTATTCTTCTTCTTGGTCTTCTTGCTGGGATCCTTCGCCTCCTCGACCTCCTTGGCCTCCTGGGCTTCCTTGGCCTTCTTCTCCTCGGCCGCTTTAAAGGCCCACCTCATGTTGGAGATCATCTTCTCGAAGCCTCAGAATCCTCCATCCAGCTCTTCTCCCGCTGCTTCCCCTTCGCATGATACTTCCAGTCCTTCTGGTGGACATAGTAGAGGGGGCCTGCAGGGCGGAGCTGCATAAACCCTGATAAAAAATACGGGAGTCCGAAACGACTCCCGAATAAAATAGGAAAATTAACACACTTAAGTTCAAAATGTTACTCAAAATCCAAGTTGCATGCGGGATTGCTGCAACCCCCCTTTCGGAGATATGCCACAGTCTTGCAGCGGTTGCACATCCTCAAATCCGGCCCCGGCCTCGGGGCACCCCTCGGCCGGCACGGGCACTGCCGGGTCTTCCACCCGGACCTCCGACTCCTCGGATTCCTCCTCCTCCTCCTCCTCCTCCTCCTCCTCCTCCTCCTCCTCCTCCTCCTCCTCCAAATCCACAGCTGCACCGAGCTTGCTGGACGCCGCCATGGCGGCCCAAATCCAAAAACACAGCTACAAGCACTCCAGAGCCCTCGAGCTCAAAATTCTAAGCATGGAGGCAAGAACTTCCACAAATCTGCTGCCCTTGCAAACAAAAACGAACATGAAGAATCTGCAGATCAGTCCTTGTCCTCGCAGTAGAGCGGCACGAGCACCATGGACAGGGGGCAAGGGGCTTCAAACCTACCCCGGGAGGCGGCGAACCTCCCGAAAACAAAAAACACTGCTTGGAACTCTCAAAGCTATGGCAGGCAGGCTCACAACCGAACTGAGGGCCCGGCAGGCAACAGGAATCTAATCCCAAAATATTTAGATTTGTTAATTTATGTACTTATAGAATATAATAATATATAGAAAACACCTCGCAAGCCATGTTAACCTAGAGACGTGGACATGCATGCTTTGAGCCAGCTACAGATATACAAAAACACAGAGTCTTCAAGTTGCATGCTGCACATGCCAAATTTAAAATTGTTGCAAAAGCATGGATCCAAAATGCAGGCGCTCACAAAATTTCTGCTCGAAAGCGAAATCGTCATCGATCGTCGAGTCTCGATTGCAGCTCACCCAGCTATGGCTGCATGCTGCACAGTTGCTCTTCTGCCCAGCTCCTGACCTGGGCCAAAGGCTCTCCAGCTCGAGCTTTTCGTAGGGCTTCCTCTCCTGTTGCATGCATTTGCTCCTTCGTGGTGGCGGAGCCGCCTTTCAGCTGGAACATCTGCCTCTTGCACTCTTTGTCCTTTTCGTTTCGCCAAATCATGCGAAAGGCCAAGATCTTGTTTGCTGCACGATACTCCTTCCGAAGAACCGCATTTGCAGGGAGAACCGCCACATCCCCATAGTTCGGATCCTGATCATCATCTGCAGCTGGAGCATCGACTGGCACCAGAGCGGCTTCGGCAGGGGCTTCGAGATCTTGGGCTGCTGCAGCATCATCTGCACCTGCAGCTGGAGATTCTCCATCTTCCTGCGGAAGGCAGGCTGGCTTCTTGATGACTGCAGCTGGCTTCTTTTTGCTAGCTGCCTTTGCTTTTCCTTTAGGAGATGCTTTGGCTGCAGCTGCTTTGTCCAGCATAAGGTTCGGGATCTCGCTCACGATCTGATGCCCATCGGACCACGCTGCCACAGCAAAACCAGAAGGCCCCTTGTGCATCTTGGCAGCCTCTCGGCTGTCACCTGCAATTCGCAGCACCGTTGGTACTGACAAATCTGTGAGGAAAAAGCTGGCGGCCGATGCAGCCTGCTGGTATAGCTTGCTGATTTGGCCTGTAGGCAGAGGCCTTGGCCCATCTCTCGTATGGCTTGATGCAGGTTCTGCAGCTTCTGCCCGCTCCTTCTTAACTGTTGCACCTGCATCCGAAGAGGACACAGAGACGTGAACCTCAAGTTTCCTTGTCGATGCCCTTTGGCATGTCGAGTCCAGCCTTTGCTTGATCTTCTTCTTCGGAGAGGCTTTGGGCGACCGGGCAGAGCCTGAGCTTGCCCTCTTGGACCCCTGCTTAATCTCTGGTAAATTGAGCAAGTCCTTGATGAAGAAGCACATGTCCTGAATGCTGTCGGCCAGCCTTCCTCCTGTGGACATGTTGCGAGTCTTCGTGAAGAGAGTCTTGTAAACTTCGTGAAGATGATTCGCAAACGTCTTCAGCTCCAAGCTTGGTGCCCCTGGCCACACCAAGCTCATTGATTCACGCGTGACAGCTGCAGTCGGCCGAGTAGTGATGCCCAAAATCTCCTTCATGAGCACATGATGCTTCTTGCAAAAAGCATCCAAAGACAAGAGGGCATCTCCAGCTTCCACAGCTTGGAGATTTCCTCAGAAAGTCTTCATGAGATCTTTCCCGCTGGCACCATTGGACCTCCGACTCGACATTGCTGCTTACAAAAAACAGACTTCAAACACTCGAGCAAAAAATATCGCAGATCCGGCAATATCATGCCAATATTCCTTCGAATGCTGCTTCTTGCAACTGCACTGCCTGCAGCATGCATGCATGCCGAATGTCGCCGCGATCCAGATCATGCATGCAGGAGAGACATGCATATGCCCTCCTGAAAAAAACACATTTAATATAAAGATATATACATCGATGTATAGAGAGATAATATAAGCGGTTTTATGGAAAACTGTCAGCCTTAATTAAAGCTGATTATATCAGCTCTAAATAAAGCTTTAACGCTTATCCTATAATTCTTAAAGAGGCGTCACCTTATTTAAAGCTTATTGGAGCTTCAGGGCAAGTGGAGGCCAAAGGCCCACAGCTGGAACAGATGGACTAGGCATCGATCCAGCCTGAGGCATTCATGTGATCGCCGGGAGTTCCTGACCCGCCTGTGTTTCCGGTTATCCCTCCCACGACCTGCTAAAACTAGAGGGTATGTTACCAGGCTTCCTACTCGAACTCCCCGCCGTCACCACCGCCGTCGACCCCGTTACCGTAGCAGAGAAATAGGCCGTTGCTTTCAGTTCTTGGGGTCATGGCCTGGGCCGCACTCCCGATGCGGAATTTCATGCACACACATTTTACTCCACAGCATTCGACTGCTGAAAAGCTTCGTTTTGCGTCTTTTGAGCCACCTGGGTCCCAAGTCCCAGGGGCTTGCCGATCCACCGCTCGCCAAACATACAGCAACTAGCTGCCACTTGGCTTCCGGAATCACTGGTAAGACAGAACCGAGGGTTAGGAGTTTTTGCCGTCGACTCCTGAGACTGTTCCCTTCGGGGATCAGGAAGCCTAGGCGTGAGAAGCAACACTTTTTCAGTTCATGCATTGAGATAGCGCTGGCTGACACTCGTGTCCCAGCCCAGAGTCATCACAGTTGTACGTCTGCCACCACGAGCTCCCTGCCGCAGCAGCCTCTCTCCAGTACTGTCCAGCAGCCCCAAGTCTGCCCACATCTGCCGAGCCGTCCGAATCGACCTTCATATCACTTCGCAGGCTCGCTCACCCGAATCCTGCCGTGCCATTGGTTGTGCAGCTGTCCAACAGGTGCCCTCACCTGCCCAACCGCTCCGTCTACCTCTCAGGCCCACGCTCACCTGCTTGCTGATGTTGGGCAATACAGCTCGGACAGGAAACGAGCGTACAAACGTGCAGTACGCCGGGCAGCTGCCTCGGGCGATGGCGGCACGCGATACCGAGGACGCTGGCAAACCCTGCATCAGCTCCACTCCCAGCACCGTGCCAGGGACTCGGACACAACCTCGGCCAGCGCCGCCCACGCCAAGGCCCAAGCCACTCCCAAGGGACCACACGTCCGCTTCCTTAGCTTCAACTGCGGTGGCCTGTCTAGCGAGGTCTACCAGGAACTTCTCCTCACTCTAGCTGCTACAGCGCCGGATCGACGACCCCAAGTCGTCGCGATCCAAGAAACCCATTGGGCTGAAACCAGTAACACCGACTTTGTCACTGGACCGTGGAGGATCATTAGCTCGCAAGGCGGCGGGAGTCCTTCTCCTAGTGCACAAGACGTTCTCTGCTGATTGTGTAATCTCCACGGCCGAACCCTATCCCGGAAGGCTTCTACATGTGCGCCTGACGCACGCGGCCTGGGCACTTGACGTTTTGGTTATCTACCAACGACCCATGAGCTGGCAGCAGACTCAAACCAAGGCCGCTGCGGAAGGCCCAGGGCCGCAGGAACCACCGCCACAGACCGCTGCCCAGGTTCGCCAATCGGTCTGGGATAAGCTTGAGCATACCCTTAAAACCCTACCGACGAGACACACCCTGCTGCTCCTAGGGGACTTTAATACTCCACTTGCCGCACACCCACGCGCAGGCCGGGTTGTCACTAAGTGGAATAGCCGTCTCCCAGCTGATGCTCCCCGTCTCACTCGCCTGCTAGATGATTATGACCTCATGCAGCTCAACTCATGGTCCCGTCGAGCGGGCCCCACATACATTTGTGGTGAACAGCGGAGTCTGATTGACCATGTATTTACCCGTACTGCCCAAGCCCATCCTCTGGCCCGAGGCACTGGCCGAGATCCACTTGTCCTGGCTGCATGGCGTGCTGGTGGCCGGCACGTTCCGCTCGGCGGGGTTCTGCCGTTGTCTCTCCCTGAATCGGGCTACTCCTCAGCGAACACGTCCTTGGAACAAGGACTGCCTCATGCAGCTGCTCTCGGAACCGCAGTGTCCCCAGGCCCTCCAGCTGCGACAATCTGTGCAGCACGGCATCGCGAATTGCTACTCCATTCAGGACCTCAATGACTGCCTTACGAATGCCCTCCGTCAACATCTGCCGCCAAGCGCTGGCAGTTCTAGGCTGGCACCATGGCAAACACCGGCCATGCAGGATGGAGTACGTGCCATGTGGACACATTATCGCCTTGGCGGCAGGCTGCCAACCGCCAAACCTCTGCCATCTGGAGAGCGTGGTACCACTTTACCAAGTTCCGGAAGGCACATCGGGAGTTTCGCGGGGCTGGCCGGTTGGCCAAACATGCCTGGTACTCTGACAGGCTCCATGAACTAGGCACACATGCCAGACGTCACAACATCCGCGCACTCTACCAGGGAGTCCAGCGACTTGCGCCCAAGAAGCGGTTTGCTCAGGTACAGCTGCGTGCCCCAGACGGTGGCCTGATCTCCCCGGAAAGGCAGGCCCAGTTGCTGTCAGCCCACCTTCGAAACAGCTACACAGGCCGTTTCTGCCAGCCCGACCGATCAGCTGCCATGCCCAGTCTTGCGATGGATGCCACTATGCTTTCCAGTGCCCTGGCCAGCCTCTCAGTCCACAAAGCCGTGCCAGAACACCTTGCCCCGATAGCGGCTTGGCGCCTCTGCTCAGATGAGATTATGCCCGAACTGGCAGAGCTTGTCAACAACCTCACCGCCGCCGACGAGCTGTGGCACGCGGCCTGGCTCGCGCTCATCCCGAAGATTACACGTCCTACCCTCCCTAAACATCTAAGACCTATAGGGGTTACTGAAGTGTCAGGCCGAATCGTCTCGAAGATTCTTCAGAACAGGCTTCGGCCATATGTCCTTGAGTATCTCCGCGATCTACCGCAATGGGCTTATGTTCCAGGCAGGGGGACTCTTGATGCTGTTCTTCGAGTCCAAGCACACTGCCAGGCCGTCATCGATTCATGTGTGTCTACTGACTGGACCACCCGTGAAGCTAGAGCCGGCATACCTAAGCCACAGAACTCTGCTGGAGGCCTGCAGCTGTCACCCGACCTAAGCTCAGCCTTCGACCACATGGAGTGGGCACACATCGCCGTTGCCCTTGAAGATGCATCTGTCCCCTCTGAGCTCCAAGCTCAGGTGTTAGAATGGTACCGCGATATCAAATATGTCCTCACAATACAAGGCCAGACCGTAGACATATCCGCGAGCAGAGGCTTGAAACAAGGTTGCCTTATAGCGCCGCTCATATGGTCACTTGTGACTGGCCGCTTCCTTTATGAGCTTGCACTCTGCTCAGACCCGCTCTGGGTCACTGCAGACGTCACGACCTATGCCGACGACTTTCACGCAGGCAGCCAGGTTCAGTCTTACGCCGAGCTCTGTCGCCTTGAAATACGCTTAGGTCAACTTCTTGACGTCCTCTGCACGGCCGGCCTCACGGTCAATGCCCAGAAGTCCGCGGTTCTTTTTCTCTTCCGAGGTACCTTTGCATCTAAATGGCTTAAGCAGCACGTGAAAAACACCCCTGACGGCCAGGTTTTGCGCTTGCGTACACCCAAGGGTATGCTATTCGAGTTCCCGGTGGCTGAGGTTCACACTTACTTAGGAGTACGCATCAGCTACAAAAATCCCAGACTAGCTACCCTGCAACACCGTGTCCAGCTTGTCCAGGCTGAATGGTCCAGACTTCGGAAGGTGGTGTGCTCCAAACGAGGCCTTTTTCTCAAGGGTCGCATCAATATCTGTACATCCGGCAACTTCGTGCCATTCTCAGATCCCCGGCACACCTGAGTCACGTCAGTAATGATGCCATTCTCCAAAAAGCTGGGGTACCGGATGTGTGCGTGATAATCACAAGGGACCTGAACCGCCTACAGGCCAACCTGTGGCAACTACAAGCCGCAGACTCCTCCCTTCTTGCCTCGCACGTCCTGCACTTTGCCGCGGGTCTCCAGACTTCACTGGACTCGCAACCCCCTCCTCGGGGTCATGCACCGGGTGCTCGCGAATGTGAACCTGAGGCCATCCTGGAGTGTCGGTTCTGTGGAGAAACCTTTGCCACATATCACCTTCGTCGAGCGCACGAGGCCAGGAAACACCACGTTCGCACACCTAAACAGGCCGTGTTCACCTTTGACCGATACAAGCACAGCATCGATGGCATGCCCACGTGTAGCCTGTGCAGGTATCCGTTCAGGAAGTGGAGGTTCTTCGCAATCACATTGCCAAAGGCCAGTGCCCGTTCCTCAGCTCACACAAAGATATACCAACTGCCGTACCTGTTCAGCCGGTCACTGGTGCCCAGACCTTACCCGATGCTGACCTGCAGGCTCGGGAAGAACCAGTGCTGCCTCTGATCCTAAGGCCACACATTGCGAAGATTCTGCGCACGCAACACTGGCATGCTTTGCTCAGCTTGCCAGAAGTGCAGCAGGAAATCACGCACCACTGTCCCATCTGTCGCCAATGGTGTGTGGATACTGCAGCAGTGAAGCGCCACATGACTGTGCAACACGAGCAATGGGCAGGTCACTTTTCCCAAGTCGTTGACCTTCTTAAGCCCTTTCGGCGTACCATGGTCTTCCCATGTAGATACTGCAAACAAACACAGGTTAACCGGCACACGCAAGGGCGTTCCTGTATTGTTCTTCAAGTCAGCTGCTTTTTGCAGCCAACTCTTTGCAGTGGACATGGAGGAGACCCTGGAGATGACCGCGCAGGAACGACAGTTCTTCGGCGGGGTTTGTCCGTCGCTCCAACCCAAGCGAGAACGGGAGGAAGCCCCGGTGGAGAAGAGGCCTCGGACGGCAGATGCCCTGACCGCATTGAACCCACAAGCGGCTGCACAGATGCCACTGGCACCGAAGGGCAAAGGGAAAGGCAAGAACAAGGGCAAGAAGACCGGGAAGGGCCAGTGGGGGGGCTGGAGTCGTCAGCCCACCAACTGGGGCCAGGAATCCTGGTCCGCGAATCAGGGATCCTGGAATGCGCCTTGGACTTCGGAGTACGGCCTACCGGAAATGGTCCAGAAGCTAACCACGCTGGCTATCAAGCACGAATATGCTATCAACAGCGTGATGCAGGACCACACGCTCGACCTCTTTGTGAAGCCAGGGGACGAGGGACTGGTTCCAATACTGTTTGCCACCTCGGAGAAGTGGCATGCCACGCATCAGGCCGACCCCTCTCTCACCTCGGAGTCCCTGCGTCTGGTTATGATGAAGGCATTTCTCATCGAGCTGGGTCAGCGACTGAAGGCAACGAAGGATCAACCGGAATCCACCCAGAAGGCCAAGGAACTGGGCTGGTTGACGGATCAAGGCCAGTGGAAGACTCTGGCTTGGGACCCGACAGCACAGGATCTACGGGAGAAGCAGGGCGGCAAGCTACACTTCACCGACGACCTGATAGCCCAATCCGTGGAGCTTCGCAAACTTATCACGGAAGAGACCCTGTTCAGGTTTCAGTCCCTCCGGGGCTTGCGTCGGTCTCCGCAGACAGCTTGGGTGCAGTTGGCCATCGAGATCAGTGTCAGGGACATGGGGAACCGAGTGTGGGAAATCCTTCATTCCTGGATAGGCTGCGCCGCTTTGCACACCATGGGATGCCGCCTCCGTCGAGAGCGCGGCGGGCTCTCGCAGCAGGCCAGGGCCATCCGTGGATGGTGAATCGGCCTGGTAGCACTCCGGTTGCACCTAGGTCCAACCCTCCCCCTAAGCCCGCCGTCCCGATACCTCCTTGCAGCTTGTGCCAATGGCATGTTCGCGACGACATTCCGGGCCTGTCTCAGGTTCTGCAGTGCCTTTTATGGCCACTCTGGTGCGATGCCGCCAGGTCCCAACCGGTGCATGGACTGCTTAAGCATCTTTGGCATAGGATCTGCATCAATGCCGATGCTCTGATCTCTCTCAGAGGTGACCTTCTATGGTCCGGTGTAGCTGGGGGTGTACCGCCCGCAGCGCAGGCGCCCTTCTTGCGTGCACAGCTCCAATACCTGCTACTACAGCTCTCAACTGGTGACATGTCAGGTCTGTGGGATTGGTGTGAAACTGGGGACAATGGCAAACTTGCTTCCGAACAGGCTGAGTTGACGATTCCCATGCTCATCATCTTTCCCATGCAGCCCAATTGTGCCGCAGGTTGCCTGCGGGGATGGGGAGACTATGAAAAAAGGCCGGTACTCCGTACCGCACCGCCTACCTTGTATGCCTACGTGCACAACCACCGCCCATGTTCTGACTCGGCCACTGAGCCGAGCACGTTACATGCGTGGTTGGCTACTGCTGGGGAGGCCTGCACACTCACCATCGAGCCGGTAGATAGCCCATCCTATCACTGCCTGTATGAGGTTCGCTCAGTTATTCTGCATCGGCCTTCCGGCGACCCATGCACCTACTGCGCTGTGCACCGAAAACTGTGCGACGATGTGCTGTCCTCCTTTGATCCGGTACTGACGGAACTTGAAAAACGTGATCTGTGGCCGTGTATCATTGTGCTACGACGCGGTACGGGCCAGGTACACGCTGGCTGACTATATCTGTGGTGACTCCGTAGTTCAGTTAATGTTTAACCAAGCTTGTGCAACCGGCACTCGCTATAGTTGCATCTGGCAGTTGCTGCGGCCCAAGGGCACAGCATCGAGCTCTTCGAGAGCTCCGGCATAAGACCGTGCTTCTCGCTAGGTGGATCGTGTCCGCTGCGTGGGGAATGAAATACTGCTACTGCTACTGCTACTGCTGCTGCTACTGCTACTGCTACGACGACTACTAAGACGACTGCTGCTTTTACAGTATACTAGTACTGCATGTTGCCGCCACGAGTTTCACAAAGAAATGAGACAGGCAAAAGGCAGTGTACGGAGAAGCGAAAGCTCAAGGCCGTCATGTCCGTCAGAAGCCATGGTGTGTGCTACGAATCCGGTGCAGCTTTTCGTGAGCCAGCTGGGCTTCCGCTACAGTGGCTACGAGCACTATGCCGATCAGGACCGTGGGGATACGGCTGGCAGCAGCCTGCGTGTCAACATATGCGTCGCAATCGATTTGTGGAAGGTCCCTTGCTCTCTTTGCAAGCAGGTCAAAAAGTCGTGCTTTTCTTTCTGTGTGGCGAATGCGGTCAGGCAGTTCTGCGGTTGGCATGTTTGTTTGTCCAGGACTGGTTTTCCTTCGATTTTCCAAACAAGCCTGCGAAGCTGTACGTTGCAGACTTGACGTGTGAGTGGTCAGCTGCCGCGCGTGATGCTCAGATTCACAGGGGGCAACGCGGCAACATACCGCGTGTGCATTCTCTGCACCAGGGGGCCCAGAGTCCCATATGGTTGGTGCATGCTAACGCATGAATTTCCAAACTCCGAGTCAGGTATCATCAGATGCGCTTGGTCGAGTCCGGTGGCATCAACTACTGGGAAGGTGGTGTCCACTATTGGCACAGCAAAGCCAGGGCTCCGGGCCAGAGTACTTCCGCGATTTATATTTCTCTTCTGCTTCTTCGCAGCTTGTTTTTGATTCTCTTTTGAGTCGATGTGGCGCTTAGGTCTTGTTTCTCCCAAGTTCATCGCACGTGGCGGCGCTGGAGGTGCTGGTCATGTATGCGTCGGTCATGTGACATGTGGCAATGGAGCAGGAGAACTGTACCTGCAAGTTTCGTCTGAAGTTGTTTCTTTTGCTTGAAGCCTCCAGTCTAGTATAGTCTAGTAACCTGACATGTTGCATTCATAGATTTTGCAGCCCCGCGCCTAGATTGGCTTCGTGTTGTGAGAGAGCGAAGATTTAGTCCGGGCTGGAGGTGAACTTCGCTTCACTCGGCCGTGGCAGTCGAGGATTGGGGCATTGCACTGCGTTTCCGCTTCGGGAACCTGCTGCCAGCCAGGACCTGATGAGCTTTTCGACTACTCTCAGGCCCCACGGTTTGCAAAGGTAGTGAGTGTTTCAGCCAATTCATTCAGGATTCGGGTGCTCATCTACATCGGTCGTGGTTGACTATCGCATGCACAGCTTAATAATGCGAGTGCTTCCGAAAAGACTTTGAAGCAAGCCAGTGGAAGAGCCCCTCTTCGCGGGGGAGGTGGAGGTGAAGCGTGCCTGGCGTCTTCATGAAGAGGCCTACGCAGTAAGCGCTTCTAGATTTTCTTCAGACATGGCCCAGCAGCAGATCCCGACAGTGCGCTATGTACCCAAGGCATACCAACGTGCTCTATCAAACATTTCTGGGTTGCAAAGCGTCCGTCAGTTGCCCTGCCAGTGCAGGTTCTTCTCGTGAGATGGAAAGTTGTGCATACATGATTGGTTGCCAGAGAAACACAGACTGCATACGGGTATTGCTGCATCCCAACCCTGGTGGCAGCTCAACAGTCGTCAATGCGCCTGGCTCGGTTAAACCGTTGAAGGTATCGCCATGCCGTTCGTGAGAATTCTAAGAGCCCGGGGCGGGCAACACCTGACTTAATTTTGCGCGCGCATTGGGAACGGCAACTCTTGATCCCCGTTTTCCGCTGCCGCAAGCCTTGCCAAGAAAACCTTGAGGATAGCCACCCTTTTACCGCACATCTTACCGGCTCACTTTCTGCAACACCCGTGCGTCTGATTTCCATGAGGTTGGAGCGTGCAATCTGCTGGGAAATTGTGCAGTTTCCACGTTTCGGAGCATTCCAGGTCGCGAGAGGGACATGTGTCCGAAGCAAAGCTGTGCCTCAACACTGCTGCCTCTACCACTGCCCCTTCTCCATCGCAGGACAACGGTGGAGATGAACACTGGTATTCCTTCTCTCATACATTCCCCACAGCGAGAGCGCTTTC